TGGTGCTGAAAATGTTGGTAGCAAAATAGTTCTGCCATCATTAGAGATGAGTGGGACATAATAGATTTTTTTTTTTTTTAATTCCTTTGGTTTCAGTGGAAGGAAATTGTCACATTGGGGTTGTGGGGAGAGCGAGGCAGGCGCAGCCTGAAGAGAAGCAAGGCGGCCCCTCGGTGCTGGCTGACAGCTACAGTGATCACACTAATAAGGGATCCACATTTTGGGATGGAGAGATCCGTAGGAAGATGCCAGACTCTGGAAAACCTGGGATGCTCGTGGGGAGCCACATGGCTGCGGGCAGTGGTGCTGAATTGCTCAGCTGAGCGAGCAGAGCTGCCGGGGGGTTTGGGTCAGCTCAGACCATGCCTGTCCTGTGGAGCCCCTCTGCTCCCCCCTGGGTGCCATTTCCAGCCCCAGTGCTTTTGTTTTTGCAACTGGTTTTTGAAGTTGCTGCTGTGCACCCATGGCCCTGCACTCCAAATCCTGAAAAGCCCAATTTCTGCAGTCCCAATGCCTGCACTGCCACATCCCTGCACTCACAGCCCTTCCCAAGGCTCTGCTGTGGGCTCAGGGCTGTGTGGCTGTGCCCAATGTCCCTCRTGTCCCTGCTGTGCCAGGCTCAGCCTGGGCACCCYATTCTGCCTTTYCAGAACACCCAAAAACCCYRAAWTAAAGWGAGGCCGCAGCCAGCACGGTGGAAMACACAATTTGTCCCGTAATCAGTTTACTTTGTTTTCTAATTCATGAGAAATCAATCCTGCAGCGAGTGAGGAAGGCCATTATTGCCTCCCCTCGCTAAACAAACACGCAGAATCCTCTCATTATCCTCCTCGACTCCCCTGCGCCAGAATAAACACGGATCAGATCAAGACAAGGCTCCGSTGCCTGAGTGGCACGGACTCTCGGGGAATATTCTGCCTCTGAAGTATCAGCACACACAATTTACAAAGACATTTTATGCTTCTCCGACACTTTTTAGCCTCAAAGACTCCAAGGTCTATAAATACCTTAAAGACCCGCGCTCTGCAGCTGTCTCTGGAGCAGAACAGAGCACCCATGGTTATTATTTGTGTTTAACCGAGCAGTTTTAGTAGGTCAAACCTCCTTGCTCTTATTTGGAAAAAAAAATAAAAAATATTGCCTAGAAATGGCAGGCAATTCTTCTGACTCYGGGATTTAGCCCAAATGGCAGAAAATAGACTGTTTCTGTACTTTTCATCTTGGAAAAACCCCCCGCAAACTCTCCGCAAATGTTAACTTGCTACACGGATTTGAAAGTTATAAACATAACCCAGCCTGGCACGTGAATGTAAACCCCTGGTTCACAGTTGTGTTCCCAATGATATAAATTACAGTCCCTGTCACTCAGGGAAACGCATTATCCTTCGTTTGTGCCGCTGGAAAGGAGAGCAGAGCCCGTTCCTTGGAAACCAGACATGAAAGGGAGGCAGCTGGAGCCAACCCTGGCGAATTCCTTCCCCACACCATTAGTCCTGAGCTCGCTGCACGTGCTGTAACCTGGGCCTTCTCCATTAATTCGGGATATTTACAGCCAGGGAAAGGCTGCAGGGAATATTTCCCTGCTCTAAACAACCCTTTGTGTGCTGGAGGTGAGGACAGGAGTGATTTCCTCGCACAGGGAAAGGTCTAAGCAGGAACATCTCCCTCTGCTCCCTGCAGCTCTTCCCTGCACGGCTCCTTCCCTCCAAACACCCAGCATCAGATGAAAAAAGCATCGCCACAGCTCAGAGATGAGGTAATTTCGCTGAAATAGGGCTTTTTGTTGCTATTTCAGGCACAGCCGTCTCCCCAAAGCCAGGTGCCAGCCAGCAAAGTCATTGGCTGATGTTGGTGGCCTGAGATGCGGTGGCTGAGTCCCCTCCTGCACGTTGGGGGTTATCAGGACGGTCATGAGGATGGATTGGTTTGGTTTTGCTGCCTTCAAGGCACATCAGCAGCACCTCAGGGGCAAAGGGTGGCTCTGAAATCAGTGGGAATTCAAAGGGGTGGGATTGGAGATGAACCCAAATCAGCCTCCCTCCTGTGGAAATGGCATTACCAACACACACCAGACATCAAAGAGGGACGGGTGCCTCATCCTGGGCAGCTAAGAGGATTTGTTTAGTTCAAGCTCTCCCCAGGATGGGGTGTGAGGATGTGTTTATGCATTCCTGCCCCTCCAGAAGTCACAAACATTTGGAGAGAGGCATCTTAAAAAAGCCTTACACACACACACACAAACCCAAGCACATCAGATGCATTAAAATCATATCACTGGCCACATCTGAAGTGGGACAATCAGTGCTCCACACCCACCAGACTTCTTGGAGAAACCCTGATTTACTGGAGCAAGGTCTGAGCAGGCACCTGCTGCTGATAAATGAATGCTCTGGCCGAGAAAAGGATGGGGAAATAACTGCTTGATTAATCATTAACTCCTAAAGAATTGGCTACCTGGAAAAGGAGACCTCAGAAGGGTTGGGTTCCCCCCATTCCAGAAATTTCCCTTGAGGTGGGGGATATCAGGAACAGCCATCTCTGTCCTGCAAGATCACTCTGCATTCACTGAGCAGTGACCCCAAACCATGCTCCACATTTCCACAATCCCAAAAAACACCCACCCACCTTTGGGGCTTCCTCTGCACCCCCACATCCATCCCTGAGCTCTGCCCTTGGACCTGAGCAAACAATTCCCGTTAACAGGCCAAGTGGGGGATGAGAAAAGCTCTCTGGTTGCATTTTCATGGAAGGCAGGGCAAAAAAAAGCAGCATTTAGCTGGGTCAGTAGAGCCAGAAAACTGCAGGGAGCAAGGACACAGCTCTTAAAGGGATTTCTCTCCCCCATCTCCTCGTGAAGTGGCTGAGGCTTTGAGCTCCTGTTCCTCCTCCAGACAGACAACTCCTGGGAGCATCAAAGGGAGCTCGTTACACATCCAATCCCACGGGGCCGCAAATTCTGATGGGCCAGGAGTAAAAGGGAATATTCAAGATATTTTCCCTTAAATTAAATATAAAGATGCGAGGAAAATTCCGGGCCCGTGTGAACACGTGTGTGAACCTTACGTAAGGAGAGGCACAGGGGACTGAAAGTAGGGCACAGACACGGAGATCACCGGCTCCAAACACCACTGGCTCTGCCAGGGTAAGCACAAACAATTTCCTAATACATCAGGCCATGACACAATGGGAACATTGTGATCTGAATTGGTTTCGGAGAGGAAACTCTTCAGGAGGCATTCATTTATTTCTGAGTTAGTGAAGTGCCCGTAGTAAAGGTTTTATCCCTATTCATTGGTCATAAATAAGTAAATAAATTGATTTTGGGTGGTTTTGCCTGTGCTCAGAGRTCTGGAGGAGAAAGGGTGGACAGTGATATCAGCCTTTATCAAAAGTAGGTGTGAGATATCCCAAACCATCCCCTGGTGACAAACAGCCTCTGCCAGACAGAAATGACAGAGGAAATTCTTTGGAGACACAACAGCGCTGTGATCCTCACAGAAACTTCCAGAAATCCCAACTCCTCCCTCTGTGTGAGCTCAGGCAGGTCCTGGGTGCTCCCAGGAGGAGGATGGAGATAATGGGATTGTCCTCCTGTAGCAGGGACCTGTCAAACACGCCTGAGATCCTGGGATTGGAGACCCAGAGAATGGACAACTGCAGCTCTGCAGCCTGAGGGGCTCTGAGAGCAAAGGAGAAACCTCCCCATCACTCACAAGGAGGAGAAGCAAAGGGTTTTGCTTTCTCTCGACACGTGAAAGGAAATTTCAGGACTTTTGCACTGAACTGAGAAAGCTTTGGGTTTGCTCCTGGGTGGTTTCTCCTCCTCAGGCACCTGTTCTTATCCCAGTCACGCTGTCCATCCATGGATTTGCAGATTCCCACCCATGTCCTTCCATGAGCAGCTCAGAAATGTCTCCTGCCTTGCACTGACGATGCTCCTGGCAGCATTTCAGCCAGGGACACACAGGAGCAGAGCTTACTCCTAGTTTAGCAGCAACCTGGCAGCTTTGGCCACTTAACAACTCAGGGTTTACTCCRCTGACTGATCTTTTCTGTTTTCTCAATCTCCATCACTCACTGATCAGGATTTGTCTGGGTGCTGACAAACCTTCTCCTCCTTTCTTTTTATTGTATTTTTAAATGTCCTCACTGCTGCCTTTCCTGCTTTCCAAGACCCTCAGGATTTCCAAAGCACCTTTAAACCATTTTTGTCTCACAGCTTTAAGAGCTGCACTCATTTCAGGTCCTACAAAGATACTCATAGGAGCAGGGAGGGCACAGAGCAGGACCCTGGCAGCATCAGGAGATGCTGGCCATGAAGGAGCAGGGGGATCAGGCAGGAAAAGGGATCAGGATCTGTGCAGAGACCCCAGACCAGGGGCTCCTGGCAATGTTCAATCAGGAATTTGTGCTCACAAACCCCTTTCCTCCACGGATCCCTCTGCCCTGGGACACACRGGAGAGCTGGCAGAGCCATTCCCGGGCTGTGCCTCTTCCAAGTGCTAAAAGCGTTTTTGGATGGGAGCCCCACACCTTTTATGAGCTGCTAAGAGAGACGGCTCCGGGTTTGCAGCGCTGGAACCTGAACCAACTCCCCCTTTCCAAAATCCGGGGCTGTGCACRTGGGTAATTCCCTTCTCCATCATCCCACGGGCAGATTCCTGCCATAAATCCCAGCCCTGCCACCACCAGGCACTGACCAGCCCCACCCAGACCTTCTACTGGCACCCAGGCAAAGCCAACCCCTCCACTGGGGCTGCTGAAAGATTCCAGGAGCCTTTGGGAGCCCAGTAATTATTGTAATTATTGTAATTAACGAATCTGGGCATTCCCACCCTGCAGGGGATGCTCAGCACTTTGGTGGCACCAACTTCCCTGCTTTAAAGCTGCGTCTGCACTTTGTGACACCAGAGAGACCCACGGGGAGCCCAAAACCCTCAGATGAGCATTGYCTGTGGCACGGAAAAGCCAAGGATGAAGGGGTGGAGGTGATGTGGTACCTCRGAGGTGTTGATCCGTCCCTCCTGGAAGGAGCAGGTGGTGGGGTCGTGCGTGCACAGATTTCGGTATTTGCACCAGTGGCAGCGGAAAGCGCTGTTGACACAGGACAGGCACCTGTAGAGAGAGCAGAGCTCATCACAGACACTTTGGAAAGCTGCAGGTACCTCCAGGCCCTGCCAAAAMCCCAGGCTTCTTTGGGAAATAATTCCTTTTGGGGCGATGTTTTGATAYGGCAAAAGTAAGAGAGAGGTTTGGGGAAATATAGAGAGGCTTTGGGCAGCCTCACCATTTACTGTGCAATAAAAAAAAAACACCAGMTGGGATTTACTGCACACCACTGGAGTGGGTTTTGGTTTCTAGAAAGTGGGAAAGAAGGCAAGCCTGGCAAAAATGGGATCAGCTGTTCTATGAGTCAGGAATGCTTCAAGTCAACAGCAGCACTTCTGCCTGGCCTTGGAGTGTGGAGAGTCCAGCAAATGCTTTTGATCCACGTTGGGGAAAAAAAATGAATTGTTTATGAAATGTTTGTGAAAGAACACAGACCCTTTTCAGCCCCAGGGGCCCAGCTGCCAGCAGAGGGGCTGGGTGGGCTCTGTTCCCCACCCGCTGCTGCCACAGAGGAGCAGGAGCTGTGACAGCTGCTAATCCTGGCAGATGCCACCTCCTCCATCTCCGAGGCCACCCCTCCTGCCACGTGGCAGCTCTTGGTGGCACCGGGATCAGCTGTGCCCGTGGATTCAGTCCCATGCCACAGCCTGGGGGCTCTGTGGTGCTGCCTGGAGAGGGAAATGCCCAGGGATGTGCTGGAGCAGGGCCAGGGCGGGTGGATAAATGTCACCAGGGCAGTGGCAGCGTGGCCTCGGGCATGAAGCTCTGCAGGAGGAGGAGGAGGAGGAGGAGAAGGAGGAGAGCAGCTCCCCGGGTAGGGCTCTCTGGCCAGCTGGGCATGGGGACAGGATGAACAGATCCCTCCTCCCTGCTGGCTGAGCCCTGAATTCCGCCTCCTTCTGCCTGCTGAGCTCATTCCTGCCCTGGCTGAGCGAGTGCAGGGTGATGGAAGCACTGCAGGATTGCCCATCCCGTGAACCCTTCACGGAGCAAGGCACGGCCAGGAAGGATGTGTCACCTCTCCTGATCCAAACCCTGCCTCCTGTGCAAAAACAGAGGTGCCCGGGATGCCATTCCTCACGGAAATCCCACAGCAGGAGAAGG